AAAATAATTTCTAAACAATCCTTCAATATCTACTCCATTATCACCAGAAGTTATTTCTGCCCTACAGTATATAAAAAAAATTGAGTAATTATGTCATCGTTATCAGAATAAATGTTTCCGCAAACGGTGTATCATTTATTATATATCCTATTCACCACAGATCTAGTTCAAAAGAATTGCGACTTTTCGGTAACGAAGAAGGACGTTCACAACAGATCGTCCACCGTATGTTAGGTCTGGTTACCCAAATGGTAACTTTCATAAGTTGTGGCCACGAAGCGCTTCCAGTTCTTCGATTTACATCTAGTGGCAGCGTAACTTCAGATATATAATAACTCGACAACTACTCAGTGGTAAAAAAACTCACTTTCTTCTGTGAAAATCCATATCAACATTTTCTTTTAATGTTCTTAAAATTTCTAATTCAAACTTGACTCCTCTATCTACAGCAGTTTCTTCTTCCATTATAATAATAATAATAATAATAATAAATTTTTTTGTTAAAAAAAAGAATCAACCATTTTTACAGATTTTCTTTAATATTAATATTAAAAAAAAAGAATATATATATATATACATAATAAATGCATCATTTGTGACCATGTGATAATAATTTTCTTTAAAAAAAACTTGTTTAATTATTACCATATATATATTAAAGTTGGTTTTTTCACGATGTGTATATATATATATATATTTTTTTTTTTTTGAAATCAAGTCAATAACTAGTTATTTATTTATTATTATTCATTATTATATAAACAAACAAATACAGATCATTCTATTCTCAGAGTTACGAGGTAATCTCCAGATAGACAAGAATTTAAATAGGAAAAATAATAAGTTACACGCCAACTTTTCGTTTTTATATAAAAACAAGTTTTTAAACGAAAACGTGACAGTGAGCTTCGTGCCTTTTACTCACACAACGACATCACTCAGGGTCAAGACAATAATAGTCTATTTTATCAATTCAAAAAAAAATACAAATAGGGCGGTCGTCCCCAGATTTTTTTTTCCGTTTTTTTTTGTAGAGAAATTCCTCTCAGGCC